AGGTTCTGTTGGAGGCATGCTGTGCTGCTAGTGCACCAAAAAATACGAAAAAACATAGTGGGTGGTAAAGAATTTATAACGTTGCTAAAGAGAAAGTAAAACAGTTAGTATGGGGGGTATTTTTTGAATTGTAATTACAGTCGAATTCGGTTAAGCGAAAACGCCCAATTTCAGAAAATGTTTTTCTCTTACGCAGTATTTTCAATTAAAATAACTTCGGATAATTGAAACTCGTTGCGCTTAAAGCAATATCTGAAAAATCGTGAAATTTATAAATCATATTATGAAATGAATTGAGTAAGAACTTATTTCGTAGGCATTTCCTTGGATGGTTGGAAAAATCTGCAACATAATTTTCGGGTTGCATATAAAAATTTAAAAAAAACTAAAATTTACAAAAATGAATTTTGTTTCACTTATACGGTGCTCGTTTCATGTATAATTGCGTTTTTGCAACAAAAAGTCCTTCTCTTATACATATTTTCAATTAACCGGTTTTTATACCCTTCACCACACTGTGGTACAGGGTATTATGTCTTTGTGCATATGTTCGTAACAGGCAAAAGAAAACGATATAGACACATGGTTCCTTTCGAGCATATGCATAGAATCACTTTCAGATATAGCTTCCATATATATTTTCGTCCGATTTAATGTAAATGGTGCACCACAGTCTCTAGGACTAAATATATGTAATGTCCATTTTTTTTTAATTCCTTCACTTAAAATGGGGCTTTCGTATAGAGTGCAGTCGAGTTCAGCGTTGATTTTTTTTATTTTTTATGTGTCTGTCCAGAACATCATACTAAATTTTTACGACTTCCTGCGACTCTCGGATTTATGGCAATTTTTTGAAAAAATGCCAATTTGGTGTAAGAAGATTTTTAAAGTTTTGTTCAAATAAAATAAAAAATTTTGAATTTTGTTAATATAATTGATCAAATATGACTTGGAATAGATCACAGCATAGCAGATAAGAAAAAACAAGTTCAAAATGTCCATCCTAAGGTTCCAGAGAAATGGGAGTGAATATGAAAATGAGGGTATGTTTTCTACCTATGAATTTTTCTACCTTAGAATGAAAAATCGTGAGGAAACAATGAGGGATCTTTTCAAAAATATGAAGTTTGTCTCGTAGTACATCTCATAACCATCGATATAGTGAGCCACTATCTGAAGAAGTCCTTAAACTACTGCATGATCCAATGCTACCAACTAATTCAGATCAAAACTCGGATTCTGAATGTTATTAGTATTTAATAAGTAATGCCTAAATTTATAAAATATATATGTTTTAGATATATAGTATTAACAATAACATATATATATATATATATATATATATGTATTTATGTATCTATGTATATATGTATATTTATATAATATCAAAAGTGTTTGCCCTTAACCCACTTTTTACCCTCCAAATGTTTCGGAAATTTTAAAAGAAGCTCCCATTTTAGGAGTACTATTAGTTATAACGAAAAATGTTGCAATGTTGGCGCTTGGTGGGTTAATAAAAAAATTGCCAATTTTTTTCATATAGTAATTAAAATTATCCATCTAAATCTATTCTCATCCAAAATATCGATGAACATGCAGTAAAACATCTACTTTTATTTTCTGCGCGCTAGATCTGCATTTTTCCCACTGTGCGTCACACCGATACCAATGCAATAAATCGTTTTCCACAAACTTGACACGTGGTAGGCAGACGACTCTAAATCTGCCCGAATAAAATTAAATTTATCATAGGTTTCAGAAAGTGACGACTATGTTCCTTCGAATGAACATTGACATGCAATTGTAAGGATAAATATGTACCATATATACCCAAAGTGGCCCAGTCTGACTTTACTACTTTCCTTAATGGTTTATATTGTAATTACTCAAAATTCAGTTCAATGTGAAATTCTATTCGGTATGTGTGTGAGTTGTTATACTCATGGTATAATAATTTAAGGCAACAGCAAGCATGGTACAATAATACCAAGCAACTATGCACGTGTGGCTCCTTCTGCCAAAAATAAATATACGCAACAAGTGTTTGTGTTTATTTGACGTTTTTTCAACAAAAAACTAAAAACGCGAAAAATAAATGAAAGGTTATAATTTCTTCCCAAAATCCAGTAGGGAATAACATCAAATGTTTGTTTCATCCATAACAAAGTAATTACTTCCAGACGAACGTGTTAACCCTACGGTCAATAACCGGGTACATTTGTACCTTTTTTGAATAAAAATGTTGTAAAATTTTTAATAATGGAGATATTTGGATAAAATTTTAAGGAATCATTCTTGAGGTATTTTCACACATAATCGAAGAAAAAAATTATAAAAATTTTCCATATATGGGCAATATTGCCAATTTTTTAATATTCCATTTTCAAAAAATCAGCTTTTTTGTTTTTTTTTGTTTTTGTGGCAAATCAATGATTTTTGGTACACATATAGAGAAAAATGTTCTGACTCCGAAACCGTTCGCGATCAAATTTTTGGTTGATGCGCGCAAAAATTATCGAGGTTTTAATTTTGGGCATAAGAAAAAATCTTAAAATTACGCCGTTTATTATATTGACCAAAAACGTTGATATATATCTTCCTCCGTAAAATAAGAATATGAATATATTATAATAATCACGATAAAGATGCACATATTCGCGAAATATGAGAAAAATAAAAAATATATAGCAGATTACATCAATATTTTCAATATATTAATGACATACACACACCTAAAAAATTATTTAAAAATATCAACACAATCTAAACACGATGGTGAATCAAATGATATCAAAATCGCACAAGTCCGTGTAGCGGTTTGTAAATCACAGCGACAACCAAACAAGATATTGAGGAAAAATATTTGTTTTTGGTTCGAAAAAATAATGTCATCATATTTATTTTTTTAATTTTATACAAGAAATTTCAGAAAAGAATGTTGGGGTTATTCCGCAATTTTACACCAATTTCGCCGAAAAATTGACATATATAATAATAATCACTTTTTGTGTATAAGTATACGCCTTGCGGATTATATCTTCCCTTCCGATAAATCTTAGAATTCTATAAATAGGAATAAATCTTAAAATAAAATAATATTATGAAATATACATTTTAAATTGCGTCTAAATCGCGTAATTCTCAAATTCATTTGATGCGCATGCGGTTTTCAGGAAGTACTGAAGTTTATCTTCCAATCCATATATATTTTGCGAAATTTCATTTGACGGCTAAGATGTGCCGCACGTTACATTGAAGTACCCAAAAAATCGTAAAACGCGAATAATTTCCGAAAACTCCATATGCCATTAACGCGCATCCGATTTCGGTGTGCACCCTAAAAAAATACATCGATATATACCATTTCAATGTGGTCCATTAAGAACCATGGATGTGACATCACAATCTATTTTTGAGATAAATTGGGTACATCTCTCTTTCGGCTGAAGTTTTTAAAGTTCTCTTCTCGAAAAAGATCAAAATCCGTATGAGGTCATTTATTGAAGCGGAAATGATACACAGAAAACGCAAATAAATCCGCGATATTTTCAAAAACATTTTTTGCCCAATTTCGTGTTTTTGGAAGGCCAGTTCCCGCCGTTCTAGTAGATGGATTTTCACGAAGAAGATTTTATATCATCCGAAACGTAAAAAACCTTATTGATCGCGGGTACCCATATCATTCAGTTGACAGATCTAAAAATTTGGCCCGAAAAATAGGTTTTTTAGAAATTTGATCGCACAAAATTCGCACTTTCGGATGAGTAATACTCTGAAGCTGTGCATACTACATACACAAAATACATATCAAATTACGCAGATTCGCGACTACAATAATCTTATAATCTATTTTTATAAATTCCTGTTTGCGTATTAAAGCTAGAAGTATAATTAAAAAAACACTCAAAATCGAGCTTCAAAATATCAGCATTATTTAAAGGTAGATGCAGTTAAAATTTTGAAAAATGATACAGAAGGGGCTGTGTCCCCGTTTTGTTGGCTTCTAGTTTTATTTTGACACGAAGACCGTGCAAATTAGTCACAAATCGATAGAGAACATAAAAAACTGGTTCGCCTCAACCTGTTTTTACACATTTTTTTACATTAAAGTAGACACAGCTTCCACCAAAATAAAGTTTGGAGGCCAATATCATGAACAGTTTGCAACGACAGATCAATTAACCCAAAACTATTCACTTTTTTTCATATACATAAGTAGTTCCCGAGTTACAAAGGCGTGAACCTCCACTTCAGCTATTTTAAAAAATTGGCAATATTGCCCATATATAATTTTTAAAATTTTTTAAAGTTATTAAAGGAAGTTATTAAAGTTATTGAGGAACACCTAAATAAGATCCCGATAAAAAAATAACTAAAAAAGGTTAACCCATTCGAAAGCTATATCGAATTTACTATGATTGTTGTAGATAGATTATCATTTAAGCATGTATTTAAGTAGATATTATTTTAATGTATATATAATTTTGAGTTCCTACATCTAGATCAGATCCGTATAGAATAATTTAAAGCAAAAAACTTCACGATAGTCCAATTTTTTAATGAGTTACAGAGCTATCTTTGGATGGGTATAAATGTACCACCGTTATTGATCTACGTATACTTTTTTGGTTATTGACCGTAGAGTTAAAAACGTTCGTCTCGAATAAAATTGAAAAACATGAACCTATCAAATTTATATTTCTATCGATTCCACATCTTTCCTATAATTGAGCCATTGTCAATTGTATGTGTAACACATGTGAAAATGCTGGGAATTGCGAGTTATTCCATGCAGAAAGATTTGTCTGAAACGGAGGAACATGAGGTCTAAAACCAATATTTCGATGAGGAACATTTTTGCTGTAGCAAAGTGTATAAACATACATTATTGTTCACATTTTTCTCGACAATCTTACATGAAGAAATCGATACCCGAAGAAAACATGTTTTAAACAGTATAGTTGAAAGAGGCCACCCTATATCACCCATACCCAACACACCTGGTTTCTGTACCAGATATTTGAACATTCTCAGTTCATTGGAGAATGTCAAGCCGGGCAGAAGGCCACGCTTCTTAAGCGAAAAGATGGAGGCAAAACTACAACTGAAAAAGATGCCCTCAACAGCGGCAAAGGCGATGACACGTTTACCGAAGTTGTCCGATTCTGATGAAATCCACTTCCTGGCAGCTGGCATTGTTTCAATGGCATTGAATAGATATTCACGTTGATCGCATTCCTTGATGTATGGATCAATGAGGATGCTATACATTTCCGAGTGAAAATTTTCCATGGCTATCTGGAAGCC